AAACGTGGATGTGTAACCGATGTGATTCTGCAATCTGTATACGGGGTAAAAATGGGAGTTCATAATCCACTTGAATCAAATGTATGAAATATGATATGTTAAGAGCTTTGTAATGTTATGAACAACTAATAATAATAATAATAAATAAATAAAAAAAAATAAAATCACATATAAATTTCTTAAAAAATATAAAAATACAAAATAAATAATCTAACATTACATATCAAGACCCTAGAAAAAGAAGGACAAACCAACACCCAAATCAGATATTAAAAAAAAAAAAAAGACAGGAAATAATTTAAATCAGAAATAAAATCAACGAAATTAAAAACAAATACAAATGACTGAAAAAACAAAGAGATGACTTGGGTTTCTTGAAAGGATAAACAAGATTGATAAAACCTTAGCCAAACTAACCAAAAGAAAAAGGGAAAAAATCCAAATTAACAAAATTTGAGATGAAAAGGGAAATATCACCACAGACAGTACTGAAATCCAGAGGGTCATCAGAAACTATTTTGAATGTTTATATTCCAATAATCTAGAAAATCTTGAAGATACAAATTCCTAGGGACATATGACCTACTCAAATTGAACCATGAGGATACAGAAAACTTACACAGATCAAAAATCAAATAATGAATTTGAAGCAGCTATCAAAAGTCTTCCAACAAAGAAAAGTCAAGGACTGGATGGATTCTCAGCTGGGTTCTACCAGACTTTTAAAGAAGAACTAATACCAATTCTCCTTACATTATTCCATGAAATTGAAAAGGAGGGAATTACTTCAGACTAATATCCTTAATGAGAATAGATGCAAAAATTCTTATTAAAATATTGGCAAGCTGCATACAAAACACATTAAAAAGATAGTGCATCATGACTGAGGGATGCAAGATTGCTTCAACACATATAAATCAATAAATATAATTCACCACATCAATAGACTTAAGGATGGAAATCACATGATTATCTCATCAGATGCAGAAAAAACACTTGATAAAGTACAGCTCTCATTCTTGTTTAAAACACTAGAAAAACCAGGGATAAAAGCAATTTACCTCAATATTTAAAGGCTATATTTGATAACCCAAGGCTAACATGATACTGAATGGAGAAAAACAGAAAGCATTTCCTGAAAAAACAGGAATAAGACAAGGATGACCACTTTTACCACTCTATTCAACACAGTCTTTGAAAATCTAGGCACAACAATCAGGCAAGAGAAGGAAATTAAGGGGATACAAAGAGGAAAAGAGCTTAAATGATCTGTTTGCTGATGACATAATACTATATTTAGAAGACCCAGAAAACTCCACCAGAAGACTTCTAGAAACCATAAATGAATTCAGAAAAGTAATAGGATTCAAGATCAACACTCATAAAATAATCATGATGAATCTGCTGGAAAAGAAAGTAGGAAAACTATCCTATTCACGATAGCCCTAAAAAAATAAATAAATAAAATACTTGGGAATCAATCTAATAAAAGAGATGGAAAACCTCTACAATGAAAACTACAGAACACTAAAGAAAAAAGTTGAAGAAGACCTTAGAAGATGGAAAGATCTCTCGTGTTCTTAGATAGGCAGAATTAATATTGTCAAATGGCTATACTACCAAAAGCACTATACAGATTCAATGCAATTCCCATCAAAATTCAAATGATATTCTTCACAGAATTAGAAAAAGCAGTTAGGAAATTCATTTGTAAAAGTAAGATGTCCAGAATAGCCAAAGCAATCCTTAGCAAGAAAAGCAAAGCAGGAGGCATCACAATACCAAACTTCAAATTATACTACAGAGCTACAGTAACAAAAACAGCATGATACTGGTACCAAAAAGACATGAAGACCCATGGACTAAAACTGAAGACAAAGAGACAAATCCACATACAGTTATATGATACTAGACAAGGTGACAAAATCACGCACTGAAGAAAAGATAGCCTTTTGAACAAATGGTGTTAGAAAAACTGGAAATCTATATACAGAAGAATAAAATTTGACCCCTGTCTTTCACCCTGCACAAAACTCAATTCAAAGTGGATCAAAGACCTAAGAATTAGACTAGAACCCTGCACCTACTAAAAGAAGGTGTAGGCCCAACACTCCATCATGTTGGCTCAGGAACTGACTTCCTTAACAAGACTCCTAAAGCACAAGAAATAAAATTTAAAATTAATAAGTAGGATGGCATCAAATCAAAAGGCTTCTTCACAGCAAAGGAAACAAGACCCTGACAAGAAATCATACAGATTGGGAGCAAATCTTTGCCACCTGTTCCTCAGATAGAATATGCAAAAAACTCAAAAAACCTTTAAAAAACAATAAATAAAAGGACAAGAAAACTAAACAAACACTTCTCAAAATAAGAAATGCAAATGTTTAATAAATATATGAAAACATTAACATCTCTAGCAATTAGATAAGTGCAAATTAAAACTACACTGAGATTTCATCTCACTCCAGTCAGAATGGCAATTATCAAGAAGACAAGTAACAATAAATGTTGGCTAGGACGTAGGGGGAAAAGGTACACTCACATTATCGATGAAACAGCAAATTAGTGCAACCCCTCTGGAAAGCACTTTGGAGATTTCTCAGAACTAGGAATGGAACCACCATATAACTCAGCTATCCTACTCCTCAGTATATATGCAAAAGATTTAAAATGAGCATACTGCAGTTACACAACCCCATCAATGTTTATGCCAGCACAATTCACAATAGCCAACCTAGGTGCCCTTCAACAGATGAATGGGTAAAGTAAATAAAGTAAACATATACACTCAATGGAGTTTTACTCAGCCATAAAGAAGAATGATATTATGGCATTTGGCAGTTAATGGGTGGAAATGAAGACTTTCATATTAAGTGAAATAGCCAGTTCCAAAAAAGTCAAATGTTGAATGTTTTCTGAAATGCAGAAGCTAATCCAAAATGGGGCAGGGGGTGGGGGGAGCTCAGAGGACGAAGTATCAGTAGAATAGAGAAAAGGATTGAAGGGGAGGTAGGAGAGATGGGATAGTAAAGAACAGCAGAATGAATCCGACTCCGACCTAACTTTCCTATGTACACATATGAATATACCACAGTGAATCTCACAATCATGTACATCCACAAGACACTGATTTTAAAAAACAAAAACCATAAGTAAATAGCAGAAAGATCAGTAGAACAGTGGAAAAAGTAAAGAAGGAGAGAAAGAAGAAGTACTGGAGGTTGAATTAGAACAAACAATATTCCAATGCTTTTATAATTATGTCAAAATGAATCCTAACGTAACATATAACTAGAAAGAACCAATAAAAAAATCTGAAAAATTGTGCTGTATATGTGTAATAAGAATTGTACATTCTTTTTAAAAAATATTTATTATTAAGTTTTAGATGGACACAATATCTTTATTTTACATTTATGTGGTGCTGAAGATCGAACCCAGTGCCTCTTGCATGCTGGGTGGGCACTCTGCCACTGAGCCACAACCCCAGCCCCAAAAACTGTACATTCTTATTACATTCCACTGCCATTTATTTTTTAATAAATGCATTCCATTGTCATTTATTTAAAAAAAAAAGAACCAATAAAAAAAGTATAAAGTACTATACTGAGACAGCAGATAAGGTATACACATACTGTGATGTTTTGTTAGGATATTACAGCAACATCCATGCTTTGCAAAAAGATAGAAAGGAGAAAGAAAAGAAATGCCATAGGAAGTTAGAGAAGGGAAAGCAAGGGAAAGAGGAAGACTGTTCAACCCCAGGATGTTCAAAACCAAGAGCATGCTAATTCCCATAAACCTACATAGACAGGATGATACCCACACAATCATTCCTCTTCAAAGCAAACCTTCTAATGAGAAAAAAAATAATATTCATTGAAACATCACAACATGCAATAGGATTATCTGATTTCCAAGAAGAAAGAAACAATATCAGAATATCTATAGTGATGATATTGATTTTTCCCTTTGTATCGTATTTCATTCAGTGTAAATTCTAAAGCCCATAGCTAGAGGAGGAACACCAACAAGTTTTAGACAATGATAAAGTTACTGTATTTATTTTAAAATATTGTCTTAAACAACAAATAGTTTTACAAAAACCTGTGTCTTCTATTAACACAAATTAGATTTTTAAATGAAAATATACCTCTCACATTTGATCATTCATGAAGTCATACCCAGAATAAGAGACTGAGTCATGAACAGCAAATTTATATTCTTCTCTCCAATAAAGATATGCTCTTTTGTATAAACATGACATACAATATACTATTCTTTCTTAAGAAATAAAAACTATTGGTCCTTGGTTTGAGTCTCATAATACATACAGCATGACTGTTTTCTTTTACTCCTTCATACAACTGTAATCAATCCAGCCATGTCAAGCTCTTTATCAATTTTTATTTTAAAAATGTCATGAGCTGTGGCTAATGGACTTCTCAAGGTAGTAAAAAAAATGATTCAATATCAATAATGCAGATATATGTTCATTATATTCAACTTACCTAATACACTGACAAAAGCATCAAAAAGATGAAATGTAAGCAGTGGCTCTTTCAAGTGACCATAATAATCTGCTATAGTTTTAAATACATCTTTTTCAAATCCCAAGTACATAGGCTGCTTCAAATCTGAACAGTTGGGCCCTATTTTAAAAAAACAGAAAAAGAAACACTAATGGATCAATTACCTCTAAAGATTATAATCTGTACATAAGTGTGTTAGGTAAAGATATTCAAGATACATACAGAACAGAAAAAGATCATGGAAAATTAACATTATGTACATTGATATACATTTCACTTACACAAATATGTTTTCTGTCTAAGTTGAAATCTATTATAAAACAATGAGGCAAAGCACTGACCTACTTCCATTTTAAAAGAAATGTACTCTTTCTATTCTTCTAAAGAGCACACTTATTAAATGTAAACAATGATAATTTTCTTTGAAATATTCAAAATTTTCTTACTCTTGATAAATTAACCTATATAACAATTAGCTGATATATGCAATAGACAAGTTATAAAGTGATTTTCATAGCTTTTCATTATTTCATCACTGGTATATTATTAAACCCTACAGTCATAGAGCTGAATAAAATAATCAAATTTCTGCCTCTAATTAAACTATTACAGACTAATGAAAATTCAAATTCTTTAAAAAAAAAAAAGATAACCTGAAAAGGAGATTTTACATTTTGCTTATTATTCATTCTGATTATAAACTCTCTAGTTGATTCCAGGCCAACCATCAAAAGATGACTTACCTCCACTGGCCACACCTACGCCTGCAAAAGACTAAACAACTATACCCAATAGAAGTCTATCCCTGGGCTAATGAAGGAAGCAGACAAGATAAGTTGAAAGGAAATTCTTTCTACAGAATCACTGAAGTAAGGAAGGAAGAGCAAACTAGAAAGGGGTGCAAAGCACTCTGGGCCTTCACATTTCAATCCAATGGAACATCATGAAATGTCTTTTTCTGGTCTCCCTAGGAAGCTTCTTACCTTTCAACATTCTGTTCTCTTCTTATAAAATAATTTATTAGCTAAAATAATGAAATATCTATACATGTGGGATCATGTAAAACCAGAGCAAATGTAGCTACCACTTCTTTTTT